TGGGCTTGATGTCAGTCCTCACTCACCCCTCATCCAGGCAGCTCTGTGCAACAGACAACCTGCACAACTGCACACAGGTGGCCTGGGCTACAGCTGTGTGTGTGTTGACTCAGTAGTGCCAAGGGGACTTCCTGATTCCCAATCCCATGAGTGTAGAAAGTTCCTCTAGTGGGTCAATTTGGTAGTGTTAATGGAGACATCCTTACCTATTAAGCCTAGCCTTAAGTTGTGTCATTAACTATTTCCCAGCTTAAAATACTTTTGGTTTCTTGCCCTGACACTGGAACTCACAAAGTATGCTCACTTATTTAAAACTCAGTGAACTCACCAATACGTTGGTAAGATAGTGCCTACAGTGAATAATAAGATAATGTGCATAAAGTATCCAGCACATCTGGGTTCTCAGTGATGGTGTCTCTCACCATTATAGTTTTGGGTACGTACCAAAAAAACAAACAAACAAAACTTACTGCCATTGAGTTGGATCTGACTGATAGCAACACCTCCTTGGGTTTCCGAGGCGGTATCACTATGGAAGTAGATTGCCCAATTTCCTCCGGGGAGTGGCTGGTGGGTTTGAACCGCCAACCTTCTGGCAAGCAGTCAAATGACTTAGGCACTATGCCACCAGAGCTCCTGGACATAAGAAGGTAAAATATGAAATAAAGATCGGTTTTGCCCTCTAGAGATTAAAAACTCATTGGAAAGATAAGATCTTTTGCGTGAAGTGATAGACTTGGCAATGAAGCATGAGGGACAAAGGAATGGAATAGAATATTCAGGCTCCGGAGGGATTCAGGACAGTGCTGGGCACTTTCTATGTGTTTGGCACTTTATCCTCTCATCTACTTCTGACACTCTCCCCACCAGGTAGGTTCCATTGTCACCCTTTTACAAGTGAGAAACTAAGTCTGAGAGAGAGAAAGTGACTTTCCCAGAGTCACCAAGCTATAAAAAATATGAGAGCTGGGATTTGAACCAGGTCTGTTTGCCACCTGTAGTGGGCTGAATGATACTCCCCAGAAAGAAATGTTCATGTCTAATTCCCAGAACCTGTGAATGTTCCTTATTTGGGAAAAGGGTCTTTGCAGATGCAATGTTCAGATAAGATCATCCTGAATTACCTGGGTAGGCCCTAAATCTAATGGCAAGCATCCTTCTAAGAGTCAGAATAGAAGATAGAGAAGAGAAGGTGATATAAAGATGGTGACAGGAATTGGAGTGATCTGACAGCAAGCCAAGGAATGCTGGCAGCCATGAGAATCTAGCAGGGAAGGATTGTTGCATAGAGCCTCCAGAATCCATGGCCATGACAATACCTTGACTTTGGACCTCCAGAACTGTGAGAGAATAAATTTCTGTTGTTTTAAGCCATTTTGTTTGTGATCATTTATTACAGCAGCCCTAGGAAACCACTACATCACTGCCCCCCGCCCAAAAGCTCTGAACTTCCCACTAAGCTGGGAATTCCTTGGGTCTCCTGCCTTCCCTGTTAATGTTCTTCAGCGTCACAAGGTGGGCAACTTCATTCTCCACTCAGGGTGAAGAGCCACACCCTGTATCTGTTGTTGTGCTCTTCTGTTTCAGAGATCATCTCTCTTCTAGCCCTGGCACAAAGATCCTTGGCACCCAGTCTCAGCTCCCCACGGATACTTGGCTTAAGAAAAACTATTTCTCCCACCCAAGTAGTCAGGCCAGTGTCTCAAATAGCCAAGAACTCTCCCCTCTGGGGAAGCAGATGTAACAGAATTATAGGATTTTAAAGCTTGAAGGAACCTCAGAGTCTTAGGAAGCTTTTCACACTGGGAACTACTATTATGTAGTTACTGTATTAGCTATCCATTGCTGTGCAGCAAATTACCTCAGATCTTAGCAGCTTAAAACAACAAACGTTTATTATCACATTTTTGAGAGTCAGGAATCCAGGGGCACCTTAGCTGGATGAGTCTGGCTCAGGGTCTCTCATGAGGGTGCAGCTGAAACGTCAGCCCATCTTGAAGTCATCTGCAGTCATCTGAAGGCTTGACTGGACTTGGAGGATCCAAGATGGCTGCTGTCAGAAAACCTCAATTCCTTGCTTACAAAAGCCTCATTTCCTCATCACATGTGCTTCTGGCTACTCCAAGAGTGAGTGATCCGAGAGAAGCTGTAGTATTTTATTGACATTTAACTCACATACCATACACTTTACACTTTTCAAGTGTCCAGTTCACTGGCTTTTTAGTGTGCAATCATCACTACAATCAAGAAATTTTTCATTATCTCAGAAAGAAACTCAGCATCTTCAGCTATAAATTCACAATCTCCAAAGCTCTCCAAACCTAGGCAACCACTAATTGTACTTTTTGTCTCTATAGATTAGCCTATTCTGTACACTTCATATAAATGGAATCATATAATTTATGGTTCTTCGTGACTGGTTTCTTTCATTTAGCACAATGTTTTCAAGGTTCATCCATGTTGTAGCATGTGTTAGTACTTCATTTCTTTTTATTGGAAATATTTCATTCCACATTTATCCATTCATCAGTTGGACATTTGGGTAGTTTCCATTTTTTCTATCATGAGTAACAGTATTATGAGCATTCATGTCCATGACATTGTGTGACATGTTTTAA